GCGGCGGCGGCGTGTGCGCGTTATTGCCGCTCTGTTGCTGGATCAGCGAGTTGGTGAGCGCGGGAATGTCGCACTTCTCCTCGTTGACCTCAGTCAGGCCCTTTATTCTCAGGCTTTCGGCCACTTTCAGGAAGGCCGTTAGACGTTCCTGATCGACGCTCACCTCACCGCGGTACATAAAATCCAATAAACTCTTCATATCCGAGTAAGGAACGTCCTTCAATATTACGATGGGATGTTTCTCTTGATGGTTCACGAAGAGGGCTTGGAAATAGGGGCTGCAGGCGGAAAGGACCATCTTGTGTGCTTTGAGCAGCTGGCCGTCGACCGCCAGCGTGACGTCGGTGAAGGTCTCCGCATGCAGCAGCTGGTCGAAAACCGACAGCATGTTCGACTGGTGGTTGTTCCATCTCAAGCAGAATCTTTGTGTAGCCATCTTTGCTTTTTATTTTCCTTTGCAAGATATTATTTCCACCAGTTCAGGCTTAAAATCTAATGGTTTAACAATATCAATGATGTATACATAAGTATTCTCTCTTGTTCCATGAACAATATAACAAAACTTTAACAATGGGTAATGTTTACTTAGAAGCCATTTTTAAATTGCATGTTTCGTAGTGCTAGTGCATTTTGTTTGCCGGGCGCAGGGAAACCTGCAACAGGATAAAAGACATATTTAAATAAAAATGACGAATGTTTTACGAATATTAACTACATATCAACAAATATAAGCCACGTATAAGACAGAAAATATCGACGCGCGGATGCTTAGCCGTATTCTCTGAACAAAAAGAATGAATCTTTTCATCGGTGTGTTCGCTTGGAATAATGTTGTTATGATTGACCATTACATTTCCTTTCGTATTGTTTATTATCTAATATTGTTGATGTGCAATTATTAAAATTAAAGTAAAACAGCGAAAAAAATATTATCTTAATAAGTAAGATCACCATAAAAATCTCTTATTCGGTAAAGATTGCCGCATATCTAATCCCTTAGACAATTATTATGTAAATTATGCGGAAGTTTCTAGTCGGTTGAAAATTAAAATACATTTAAAAAAACTATTTGTTTGTTTTATTTGAAGGTATAGCAAAGAGATTATTATGACTTTAACTGGTTTGTTATGAATGATCCGGTACGTAGATACCTAGTAGATTCAATCAAGGTTAAAAAATCGAGGGCGCCTCTAGCGGCGGGTGGCGAGTCTGTGCATCGCGGAGCGCACTGCAGTAGGAAAACATTCTACGTGTAAGTCAAAGTATCTATATGCAAACAATCCCTGCGCAAATATTGAGCTGCTCACTCCGCGCTCTAACACTTTTTATTTTCGTATCAACAAAATAACGTTTCATTACATAAAATTCATAGTTTGGTTTACATACATTCCTATAAGATTCCTATTGGAAAGGCGAAACATATTTAACATAATATAAAAACAAAATCTCGCTTCACATCCACAGGTGCTGACCACAAACGTTATCGCGGCATAAACGGGCGCTCGAATTATTACTACGCACCCAGTCGAGCGCGTTACATTACGTCATCACAATGGCATTATTACCTACGTTATCCGCATTAATTCGGCCGATACGCGATGATAACGACGGTTTGAGAATAATTATATCACTGCACAAACATTATAACGTACCACACGTACTGCACAACAATCAACTCGACCCTTTTATGGGAGCGAGGAACAGCCCTTCCGCCATAGTCCGAGTCCGCGTTTACGTCGCACCCCGCTCACCCGACGACTGACGGGCGACGGGCGCGGGCCGCGGCGCAACCCCGCGCCGCCATACGCCATACGCCGCCTCGCGCCCGCGCCTCGTTCGCTCCTCGCTCCTCGCTCCACCGCGCCACCGCGCCACCGCACCGCCGCTCGAATATCTCGCACAAAAAATACGCCGTCATCATCGAAATGGCGGCAGCGGATATATTCAGCGCAGGGTGCACGTCCCAATATTGATTTATTGAAATTTATTGATTCGCATTCGTCAACGCATAGGTACCTACATCGCACCCGTCTAAACTATTATCCATATGATTCACATTATTATGCGTGTTTATATTTGTCTAATACGTTCGGGAAACATGACTCGATATGAGATCAAAATGATTTCACTAGTCGAGCGGCATTTGCGATATGAGGGTGGCAGTGATTTCAGAAATTTTATTTGTTAAAATAGTTACGGAACTTCGTAAATATAAACTCTAACAATATTTAGATTTATGAGTGTGAGAACACGTCTTCACATTCTAAGGCTTTTCACTGCAGCATCCCGATCTGAGATGTCGTAAAACTAAGGGAACACAAGATTCGAAAAGTCAAGTTATTCGTGAAAAAAATTTTACTATCGTCGCCTAAGCCTACCTTTCAAAGAATCGTTGAAGGGTTGAGTTTTCCACGTGAAAAACATTAATCCATCGATGTTGTCGCCATGTCAGCATGTGCTCCGTCTCTGTTGCGCTCGGGGTGGCTGCGCCCTGCCCGCGCCTCGCGCCTCGCGCCGCCGTCGGAGATACACGAACTCCGCCACTTTTCGCAACCGAATATACACGACTCCGTCAGGAAAATAGTCCGCTAGATGCACTTATATTTCCCGTTTTTTTTTTTCAAAATCAGATAATTCACTTAAAAAAATCACACAGAACGTCAAAAGTTTGGCATCAAATCAATTTTATTTTTCACCAATTATTTTTTCAGGAAAAAAAAACTTTCAAAGTCCTAAAGTTACGAGGAGAGAATGAAGGACGAAAAAAAAAATCGGTGCGCGATGTTACACGGAAGTGTTTTTAATAAAAATGGCCTGCCGCCTCGGCGGGAGGAGTGGCAATGGGCAATGAGGTCGGTACCCTCGCTCTGGCACCCGCGCGCCCCTCCCTGCCTGCCGGGCCGCCGCACTCCGGCACAGGGTTAGAAAGTTTCACAAATGAATCATGGAAAACGCGCCACACACCATTAGCCTGGGATAACCTATGCTTGGCGCACAGGGTGAAAAAATAAAGGACTTCTGACCACCCACATGCTGTATTTATCAAGGTTGCCGAAAATTTTCATCTTCTTTTGATATAGTCTATCAATATTCACTGAAATTTCAAAGTTCTACATACAGTAGTCGGTAAATTTTACTTCGTTGGTATCTCAGTTAAGCGTCGATTGATCAACAAACATGATCCAAAATCATTTAAAACAAATATCTGACTAACGGACTTAGAAATTCTTAGCAGTTGATATTGACTTTTCAATTTGTTATTTGTAATATAGTCAATAGAAGGTCCTAAAACGGAAACTTTTTTTATTTAAAAGCTAAAAAAATAACTTCTTCAAAAAAAATCCATAATTTATTATTCATCATGGTGTATTGCAGTATAGTATTCTAGGAATAAATTTAATGTAACTAAATATCGCTGTATAATAACAAATTAAGGAAACGGTTAATTAGTTAATTGTTGTAATTTAACAACTAAATGAACTGTGTGCAATCGAAGAAGTGTTGATAAGGCATATCATATTATTAATAGTCATAAATATACAATATTTATTCTTTTGAGGATGTTTTATGTAGAAAGATAACTAACGAAGATAATATTAACAGGAAATATGCGAACTTACGAACAATTAAGGCACCAAATCATATTTTTTTTTTAATTTATTTATACAAACAAACATACAATATCATAATTTAAATATAATTTTACAAATACGTTTCTCACATTTTTTTTACTTCTAATTTTAAATCCGGTATTTTGTTCAATTATATGTATATCCTTGGCTCCTTTACTAGGTTAATTCCCTGTATTAAAGGAGCCAATGACTTCCCTTAATTTGTGTAATATTATAACAAAATAAAAAAAAAACAAAATAGATTCAGTATTATATAGGTCATTTTGTTAACCAAAATATATTTAACCTAAATTTTCATTGAAATATTAAAAACTAAATTACGTCTAAAAATCGCTGTCATTTAATCAGTACAACAAAATTCCATCCGCACCGTCTTGATGGATGACATTCCACGACCGTGCGGTTTTTGCGCAACTTCCTCTCCTCGCAAATGTATTGTAGAATCAACTATAATGTTTTTCCGAACTGATACAACTTAGCATACCTACCCCAAGAACCTGCTATAAACAATCTAGTTAATTCTTATGGTTAGTGAGTTCAAAAAGATTTTTCTTTCTTAAAAAATTGCAATAGATTATTTTTACTTGCGATATCGAATATGTTTCTTAAGATAAATCTACTCAGAGTTTATGCCGCACCCTGTGACACGTAGATTTCAGGCGAGAAACATCAATCGCTTATCAAACACTATCTTACTATTTATCTGACAATCACCGTACACGAGAAAGGACAACGAACAATCAATTCTTTGAACACTTACTTGATTATGTTCACAATAGAGTTGGTATAAAACCCTCGGTTGTAATTCGAATCGGGATTCTCAGTGTTCTATCGAGAGTTAGTTTTATTTTTCTATTACCTTTATCATAAGCAATAGTTTTATAAAGGTAGGTTTGTAAGGAAGGGGATAAATGTGAGAAGGTAATGTTTTCAAATAAAGTACAATCAGCTGCACAATCATGTATAGATTTACAAACGTTTAAAAACTTGCATACATATTGAAACTGAAGAAATCCACAAAATTCTACAGTTTTGTAAATGTGTATAAACTTTTGCAGATGACTGTACATATGTTTTGTGCGGACAATGCGTCGTGAAAATGGCAGTTAATGATTATTTAAAAAAAATGAATAGAAAGGACATGCTGGTTATAACGTTAAGAATTATTTCTTTTTCTATAACTTGCGAAAATAATCTTTAGTGTGGACCGTCGTTGATAAGGGCACGTTACTTACACTGATAAGAATTTAACAGGTACTAGTAAACCACGCAGTAACACTTTTATTGCTATTAACAGAGATTTTTCCATACATATGAAAATAAACATAATAAAATGAATAAAAACCGTAATAATAAAAAAGCCTAAGAAAAATTACTTTCATAAAACATTCATATAGCCGTTTCCTTCAACACGCCATGGGATAAGATAAATGCTTAATATAACATATCTTAGGATATAATGTTCTTATGATACGGGTTTCTTATCATGTTAGGTTTGTTTCCACCACCGATGAACATGGCGTAAGAACTGTACCGGAATACTGACAGCTTTCTAGCTGTTGGTTGTTTTCAACCCAATCGTGGTAACACACCCATATCTCACAAACATTATATTTGTAAAACCCACGACAATTTCACGTTATATATATCTTAGGATTTAAGTACACCTATGGTATTTTATCTTTAGCACTGAGTTTATCACCTTGAGAGATCTTTATCTCTAAAATACGCTAGAAGGTAACATCTATGTACATGTCATCTGTTATATGGTCCTACGAACCGTAACACAATTATTAACATGTAGGGATTTACACATACCTATAATATACTATCTTCCGCCCGCGACTCGCGAGAGAAAACAAAAGTAAGCCTATGTGCTCTTCCAGACTACTAACTATATGCCAAATTTCATAAAGATTCGTTCAGTAGTTAAGGCTACAAACTCTAATATTAGTAAGATTATTTCCTAAATTTTCAACAAATAATCTTTCGATATTTTAATTTACCATAATTACTAAATCCCAAGAATGTAATTACTAAGTACCTATACATTTATGTCTTACTAAAATGATTGTAAAATTAAAACATTTTTTACTCCATAAAGGGTTTGGATCTTAGACTAAAATCTCTTAAAACCCGAATTGATATCATCTTTACGTTCGCTTTAATCTGTTTAGAGTAGAGAATACGTCTCTTCTTACCTTTGAATTATATTTACATCACAATCATTAAATTGTTTTAATAACTAAAAAAATATAATTGTAATTGTAATAAAATAGTCTTATATAACTCCAGTATATATGTCGGTAGAGCGACGTAAATAAACGTGTCAGTATCGATCTGTAGGCAGCTAGGCTGTAGTCGGGAGTATAATTCAGCAGTGACCTGACCTAGGTCATCGTGCCAGTGTTAGCTGAAGTCCTTACAGTGAGCTGACCCAGTTTACAGCGCACCGCTGTTGGCACATAAAAGCTTGGCAACATACTTTCCCCTTAATAACAAAGGTGGCCTTAATCATCAGGGTAAAGTTTGATTTTTTTTTAACTTGAAAAATCTTAAAAAATATAAACAAGTTATTAAAAATATCAGGGTATAGAGGAGAGAAACGCATTCATCAGATTTTGTAATTAAAAATAATTCTTGCTAATTTCATTTTTAACTTCTCGTTTAAATTTACTTTTTCCTCTCCATATGTACACCCTTCGGCCATAGAGAGTCGTTTATCATTCAAATTAAAAAAAATAAGTGGTTAATCTCGTATTTTTTACCTAGCTTGTCACTGGGATGTAATCGGACTTAGATCTTTTTTGCGTACAAGTGTAGAAATGCGCACTGCGTTCCGGTCTAAAGGGCACGATTACGTAGTACATGACAAGTAAATCTTGACTTTTAATAAATAGTTTTTAACTTTTTTAATCTATCTACTGGTGTTCATAATCTTAAATATATTTTTTCAATTAAGAAATGTACAGAATTTATAGGATAGAGATAAAAGTAAACCCGTAAAGATTAAGTCTAATTTCGGCGTGTTTTTGAGATCAATGAATAAGCAGATACGCGGTAACGGCGCCAACGAACGGTTGCCGGTAACTGTTAAAACTATACGAGTGGTAAAAGCTGCGAACAAAAAGAAATCCTTCAGCTTTCTAACACCGACGTGTGTGTAAGTCTACGTTCTCAATGAAGATGGGCTGGGAGA